GCCCCCGGGATTAGTGTCCGCCCCCCGGGGGGGGGGGGGGGGGGGGTTGAGCCCTGCCCCACTCACCTCCTCGCTGAGATTATGCAGCGCCCAGGCCTGGCCATTTGCCGCAATCTCCGGGACCTCCGTGCCGCCCAGCGTGTCCACCACCGCCTGCTTGATCAGCGGCGCTGCACGGCGACAGGAAGTGTGCGAGGGGAGGATTTGGTGGTGGGTGCGCTGACGCTCCAGTGCCAGACACAAGGCGTGGGGTGGGAGAGCCCCGCCTCCCTGGCACCCCAGCGTGCCGCGCCTGCCACCCAACCCCTGGCCTCCACCCATCCTGCATATTCTGGGAGAACAGGCGGTCCGATCATGCCCCCCTCTGCGCCACGCCCACCGCATCTCCCTCCCTTCGCCCCTCTCTGGGCCGGGCCCCCCCCCCTCCAATGGCCCCATGCCACTACATGCACACCCTCATCTCCCCACCCGCTGTCTGCCCCACCCGCTTCCTGCACATAGCGCTGTGCATCCCCGCCCTCATGCTCGTAGGGCGGCAGCTCCACGTAGTGCACCCCGGCCTCCAGCCCAGGCTCGTAGAACTCCACCCATTTGGAGGGCACCTTGAAGACCAGCGCCCCGCAGGCCAGGCGGTACTTGAGCGCTGCAGGGGGTGGAGGTGCAAGGAGTCGTGGTCGCCGGGCGGGCGGGGCAAGGAAGCATGGCCGCATCGGCCCATGTGTCGGGCTGCAGAGCAGGGGTTTGCGCGTCGCCAGGCCGCCTGAGTTCGCTCGCGCCACGCCGAGTGAAGGCATGAGCTGGCGGGAGGGTCTGAATTGGTGGCACCACCCTCCCAGGGCCCCCCCCCACACACACCACCACCCCAGACACACACCATCGCCTCCACACACACACACACACACACATACACCTTCCCCCCCTTCCCCTGCATTCCCCCTCTCAATGCGCACCCGCCGAGTAGCTGAAGCCGGCGGTGTGCAGCATGTATTTGCTGTTGCACCATGTGTCCACCCACTCGAACCGCGCGGCGTTGGAGGCCACAAACTCTGTGTCCTCCACGTCCAGCCTGGCGCCCAATTCGGCCTCGTCACGCCCCTCTTTCCTCAGCTGGACCAGGGCGGGGAGGAGGCTGCGCCGGGGGCCCACCCCCCCAGTTGCTCCTGGGGCGACGGGGCGGAGGGGGCCGTATCAGGGCGGCGACGAGTGCGGGGGCGAGCGGGGTCTCCGCTGCCGGGCAGGCTTCTCGCGCCATCCGCGAGCATGGCAGTGATCCCGCGGCATCCCCCCCCCCCTCCCCCCCCCCCGACCGTGCATGCCCGCCCGTCGACACAGAGACCTGCCCATCACGATGCACGCAGCGCCCTGCCTCGGAGCCCTGGACACCCCCTCGCCACCACCTCTGGAAGATGGCGTTTGCGCGGCGGTCCCAGCCCACCATCTGGGAGCGGTGGTCGATGAGGGCGGCCATCTCCGCCCAGGACGTGTTGGTGTACTTGGCCTCGGGGTAGCACTTGAAGGTGAAGTCGGGGATGGGGATATCGATGCTGTGCTGCTCTGCGGCAAGGGGCAGCCGGCCGGCGGTGCATGGGGTGGGGCGGTGCGGGGGGAGCCCGAGGTGAGGCGGCGTGCGGGGCGCGTGCAACGCGACCCAGCGGCCGCTCCCGTCCCCTGGACCTCGTCCGCCCTCCAAAACCCCCCCCATCAACCCCCCGGGGGGGTGCCTGCAGGGGTCCCAGTGCTCCAGGCTCACCCCAGCACATGGCAAAGGCTGGCAGGCGTTTGCCCTGCGACGTCATGGGAAAGTCCTCCGTCTCGATCACTAGCCTCAGCTCCCGGCCGCCCAGCAGGGCATGCAGGGCGGCACTGTGCCGCTGGTGGTGGGCGGGAGAGGGGTGCATGTGAGGGGGATTGTGTGTGCAGGTGGGAGCAGGGAGGGGTGTGGAGCGGGTTGTCGGTGGAAGCAGGGGTTGGCGGGGTCTCCCCGCGACGCCCTCGCCAGCGCCGGGGCGGGGCCCATCGGGCCTGCAGGCCTGCCACACACATTCACAGGTCTCCCAAACCACCCTTTCG